CAAGAATAAAACCTATTTTTATGCATAGCATTAAAAATTAAGGGTCACTAAAAAATGTCACTCACCAGTGTTGTTCATTTCTTGAATGGAAAGGATGCACGTCGATCTTTCATGTAAATGTAGCTGCTATTAAAGCATCTACTTGATTCTTTTTTTTTTTTCCGTCTTGTTCCCTCACAATGAAAACCAACCTAGCTTGCTGCGACTACCATTCGCCAAAACTGTACACGTTTATTACATCTTGACGTATGTCATTGCAATATTTTAATTGGATGACTTCAGCTTGGGGCCACAAGAGAGCAGGTTTAGACATGTGCACCATGATTTCAGCAGTTCATCACTTAAACAAACGCTGATGGGCTGGACCCAAGGTGCGTCAAGAGGGATTAGGCTACTTGTTGGCATTCTGTGGGCAAAGCCTTTGGATTATGCATACATGGTTATAATGAAATCGTCTTGGTAGCATAATTGGTCTTTTTAGAGGATTATTATTCTTGACAAAATATTCTTTATAGATTATTATTCTATAAAGACCGATTTTTTTCCCACGTAATTATTTTAAACCAGCATAGAGCTCCACAGCGACATCTGGTGGGGCCAAATGCAAAGACATCACTGCATATATGTATATGTGGCTTGCCACTCAGCATTTCATGTCCTACAAAACGTTTTCCTTTGCAAATTTGCTCTAGATATAAACAATTTCTATTAGAAAGGCTGTACTAGAACAGTCATCAGTCATACTGGTACAGTGTGAGCCTAGCAGTTGAGTTTATTTTTACCTTTTACTACAATGAAGTGTAACATTTCTCAGTTGTTTGTGTGTCTGAGGATTTTTTTTTTTTTATGAAGGTGAGGAACATCACACTTCAGAAATGTGTACTTTGTAAAAAAATAAGTCTTTTGTGGATTAAATTGCAAAGTACAAGATAACTTTATCTACTTTTAAGAAAACATAAACAGAGTTTTATATGAATCAAACCAGTTTCACCTTGTGAACTGTCACACTGAGGTGACAGCTGGTGCTATGATCTTACGTAAACTTTGAATTGGTGGCCATGAGTGTCTTCAGTGCATCCAGCAGGGTCCCTTTGGAAGCCACCTCAGTGGCGTAGGTCAATGTAACGGCACCATCTACAGTGTCCTCCACCACCACGCTAACGGGAACTGGTTTGCTGTCTACATGGTGATGACAAAGAACAACGGGTATTGATAATACTGAAAATCGCACCAAATAACGTTTACTGAATTGTTCTGAAGCCTACCTTCAGTCAGAGTCCCAGGAAGCAGCAGCAGCAGCATCAGGGCTGCAGAGAGGAGAGCAGGCATCGTCATAGCTGTTGAACTGTCGACTTCGCCGAGGCAACTGGACGCTGTACTTGCACCACCTGTGTTTTAATGTAATCGTCACTGTTTACATTCTGGGCTGGACAGAACTGTGTTGATATTAGTTTAATAAAACTGATAATGCTTTCCATTTAAACGTCATCTCGAGTTCTTAAAATCATGTTTGTACTGATAATTCTTTTTTAAACTTCTTTTATTCAGATTTCTCAAGTGCAAATATAGTATACAGTACAGTCAGATGTTTAAAGACACATTACAAGCGCTACTGTATCAAAATATAGTCCACAGCTGCATTCTCAGATTCAATATATAGCCAAGAAAAATTAAGTAAATGGAGTGCAAATATATGTTTGTCCTACACATATATATACACATTCGCAGACACAGACAAACAAAAAACATCAAACATATATCAAAGGAAGGTGTAAATTTCACCATGCCACTCTAATTTAAAGAGGAAAAAATAACTGGAGACCATTTGTTCAGAAATATGTCAGTTTTCAATTACAGTCCGGCAGTTATATTTTCCATGTAATAAACCTCCTTAGCCTTCTCTCTCCATTGAGTCAGTGTGGGGGAATGTGGTTTTAGCCAAGACAATGTAATCGTCTTTTTAGCGATCAGAAGCAGAATTCTGAGTGGTGGTGTCTGACTGTCACCTCCCACATACCTTGGTGGTCTTCCCAGTATCAAATAAGATGATTCTAGGGGTATGTCTAAATTGCAACATTACTTCATTTCTCCGTGTACGTTTTGCCAGTATGTCAATAGTTTTGGACATCCATCATTCCGTCCAGTTTCTTCCACTTATCCAGGTCGTGGAGGCAGCAGGCGAGCAGGTCATTCCAGACATTCTTCCCCCTGGCAACGCTTTCCAGCTCTTCCTGTGGGATCCTGAGACATTCCCAGGCCAGCCAAAAAATACAATCCCTTGGGTTCTAGGTCTGCCCCAGGGTCTCCTCCCAGGTGGACGTGTTTGGAAAACCCGACCCAGAGCTCGCGACCAGAGGTGAGGGTTGGGACGTAGATGTACTGGTAAATTGAGAGCTTTGCCTTGCAGCTCAGCTCCATCTTCATCACAACGGTCCGGTACTTGATGTTTTCCATTCTTCATCTGTGATTATCGTGTTCATTTCCAATTCCCATTTTTCTTTTATGTCAAAACTGCTATCCATGGACTCCTCTTGTAAAATCGTATATATTTATGATATAAATTACTTTTTAATAGCCCCTTTCATTATTAATATAAAAAATGCTTCTAAGCTAGAGCGTGGAGTGCGTAGCTTCTCCCATTCTGTAGGTAGTGATTTTGGTTGTTACATAACAGACTAATGGGACTGGATTCCTTGCAACACATTGGATTATTGCCTTCCTCATGGATTACTGAAATAATGGCTTCTGACCAGGAATCTGGTGGATCATCTTGGGAGAGGACATAATTAAAGACTTTTGTTAGTACAGGTAATAAATCCTCTATAAAGCACTTATAGAATTTTCCTGGAAGCCCGTCCATCCCCAGAGATTTTATGTTTTTTAAATTTTTTATGGCCTCCCATATTTCTGGCTCTCTTATATCTGATATCATATTCAGTGCTTCATCTGCAGACAATGACGATAGATGTAGACTCTCAAAAAAGTCCCTGTTTTTTTTTTTTTTCATTTATTGTTTTCTGCGTTTCCTTATAGAGATTTTTATAAAATGATGCAAAGCGTCAGCTATTTGTTTTGGATGGCATATTGTTTTGCTAAGTACAGACTGTACAATCTTAGGGACCATGTGTGAGGTCTGGGCCTTACAAAGTTGAAGGGCTAGCAGACGACTTGCTCTGTTTCCCATTTCATAATATTTCTGTTTTTAGAATCTTAGAACACCTTCTGCTTTGTTTGTGAGGAGTTTATCTCAGGCCTTCCTAGTGTCTTTTAGTTCTAACAGGACCTTACAGCCTCCTGCAGATTTTTGTACTAATTCTAATTGATTTACTTTATTTTCCAACTTTATTTGCTCTTCTAATCGTTTTTTCTTAAGTTTTTCTTATTGTTTATCTT